TTTAAGATGTTTTTTACATCTAAAATAGTTAGTTTATATAAAATCATAATATATTCAATTGTATGAAGTTAAAAAAAATTGATAATAATTTCTATGAATGACCACTTGAGAATTAATGCTAATTACACTTTGTTCTTGAAAATGTTACATTTCTAACCTCTGCACTTATAATTAAAACATCTTCTACAAACACAAGTCACAAGTTGGATGTAAATATTCTTTAAAAAGAAATATGTTTGAATATATTTTATACTCTTCATTTTCTTCACAAAATATCTGAAAGTGAAGCGTATTAATCAATGATGAATTAATAAGAAATTACAAATATTCAAAGGTATTGAGAGATTTTTGCTAGTGAAAACTTTGAATATTTTAATGAAATTGAATATTGGGTGGTTGGTAGTTTACTTCTGATGTGCTACAAATTAAATGTAGAGCCTTGAATTATTTTATGAATAAAATTTTAGAATCAAGAAGTGTTGCAGTTTTCTCAGTTCAATAATTACCAATTCAATGTTTCAGAATGATGGATTTTAAATTTATTAATATGAAAGTATGCATCATTCATGTAATTTTTCAATTTACTAAAAAATAATGCCAGATAATAGAAGAATGCTTAGATTATTGATTGGATGAGTGGATTATTAGTTAAACAACACAAATCAGATGTGACAGGCAAAAGTTAATGCTTGCTTGAAAGAAAATTTTTAAAAATCTATTACATTCCATATCTTTAAAAATTGAATTGGTATAATTTTAACATTGAAATTGTAATAAGTACTATACCCTCTTGTAATCAAAAGTAAAATTAAATTGTTGGGTTGTTGAAGAACTTCTGTTATTCTACCATTACATAAGAATTTAATTCTGTTTTTCATTAAATTTTGTTAAAATTTAAATTTTCACTTCTTTCCATGCAATATAATCTTTTAATTGTGGTTCATTATATTCAGTATGGAAAATAATTCCATGGCTCCCCCCTATCAGCAATTTACTTTATCAGAGGTGACCCTGGATTTTTTTATTTTTTTATTTTTATTTATTTCACAGATGAATATTGTAAAAAAAAAAGTCTCCAAAACTCCATTTACATAATTTTTCTTTTCTTTTTCCAGCTAACTCTTCACATTTTTTTCTATTAGTTATTTTCTCTCAAAATTTCATTGATTTTTTATAATCAAGAATCCAATTTTCTTTCAATCTTTTTACATTATCAATTTTTATTGTTCCTGCTTAATGTACTCTCAAATTAAATGCTTCATATTAATATTTTCTCTTATAATTTTGTTTCTTATTTTTTCTAATTTTGGAATCCTGGATAATCTTCTTTTAAAATAATCGATTTCAGTTGTAGGAATTTTATTTTTTAGTTTTTGTGCAATTTGTAAATTTCTGGTCCATGTAACCTAATATTTTCGAGAATAGGTATTTTATTCTTAATGTTGTTTCTTAATTTACATTTTTGGCAAGAAACGTTTGTTTGGCATTGATGTAGCTGATCTTTCTTTATTCTGTCTTGTGTTTTCCTCTTGACTTAAATCCTTACTTTTTTTACCTTTTAATAATTTAACTCTGAATAATCTTTAATAATTCCATTTTCGTATTATAAAATCAATTCTTTAATACTTTCACTCCTTTATTCATTTTATCATTGGTGGATTATTTTGGTAATGCTTATTAGCAATTTTTAACTAAAAGTCTATTGTATAGCTAATTTAAATTTTTTGCTGGCACTTCTTTTAAAAACTTTTATAATTTGTCTTCTTAAAAATAATAGTTTTAGGGAAGAAACATTGATACAAAGAATTTTCATTCACAGATATAAAATATTGAAAATTACCATTGATTTTGTGGGCAATATATTACAAACCATGTTGGAAGACTTGTTATAAGTAGATTTCAAATTTATATGCTCTAAAATGTCCAATTTAGGCTCATAATGGAAGCTCTTAAAATATATAAATGAAGGTTATAATTTTGTAAATATGCAGTTCAAGTTGAAATGAAAATAACTTTTCAGAATATATTATATTTTACTTAAAGCTGTAAAGAACATTTGTTGAAATATTTTGTCTTTGAACTTGAGAGCAATGAAAAATATAGTGTGCATACTATTTTCATTCATGGTAGACAGATGCAATTCACAGTATTCTGACAATTACATTTTGCTGAAGTTTTGTTAAATTAATGGCTTACCTGTTTGGAGGTTAGTTGACAAAAATATACTCATCTTTGTATAAAGAAACAAACAAATTAACTTATCCTATATCAAGCTTTTACTTATTTTTAATTTTTGGCACCCTACAATGTAAATGGCTCACTCACAATAAAAATTATTCACAGACTGTGAGAGCAGGAAGATGTAAATTAGTAAAATATTGATCAAATTCTGTGGCACCTCAGGTTGATGTTAGCTTAAATGTTCAATTTGGGAATATTTCTTCAAAGTAAGCTAAATTGTAATTTGAAACAATCTCTCTCAATAAGTAACTCTGAAACTGCTTGTGATAATTTCTGAGCACATAAATAACATAATTGTCTCAGTGATGATTTGGCCATGAAACTTGTTAATAGCCAATTTGATAAAGAAGTGAAAAGATTAGATAATTTAGAGACAAATCATCATTTTTCAAGCTCTAATTTTAAAATTGGGATTTTAGGCACTGTAAATATAGTTCCTGTATTGTAAGAAAGTCAAGAAATAGAAAAGAAGAAATAAGAAAAAAAATTCACTTTTGAGTTATTCAGTGTATAATTTTAGTTATTGATGCATTTATGTTATTTGGTCCATATAATTCACTTTCTGTTCAGGAAAAATTCTAAAGTTGTTAAAATCGCAATTCATAGAAGCACATCACAGAACACACTTCCATTTTCTCCTCATGTGTCCCCTCCTCTCTTGTACAATTCAAATAGTAGAAAATTACCACATCTTAACAGTGGCAGTTTCCTTCTCATATCATGAAGAATCTCGATTGATCTATACAAGTGATCAACAAAGAGGTCATCCTCAGACAGAATTCTTGAATCTTCAAAAGGTTATAAGCAGCTATTGGCAAACTACCTGAGGTCAAGAGGAGGGTCTTTGTGATCTTGAACATATTCCTTCAATTTTTCACCGCTATTATAAAAATATTATCATAGAATATACTAAATGGGGTAATCAACAGTTATTACCTACATCAATAAGATTGTGAAATATTTCATAAAATGCTTTGTTTTAAGTGATAGTTACTAGTTTCTTCGAATTGGAAATTATTTTCTACCAATTTTTTCCCAGTTATTTATGTCAATTTACTTATTTAAATGTATTGCCAATTTTCAAAACTTTAGAGATTTTAACAAAAACTGAGCGTGCGTCATTTTTAAAAGATGCTTCACACTATATGAAAAACTTAAAAAAAACAAAAAAACATTGTGAATGCACAATGTGTTAGAATTAGTTATTTACTATGTATACAAATGAGAATTATCCACTTCTTCATTATCAGGGGCCCACAAAACGAGTTTTTTCTGAGAAAAATCAGCGATAACTACAACCAATTTATAAAGAACTAAGAAAGAAACTGCTGTAAATCATTTTTTCTCTCCTTTTGAACTTAAATAAACATATATCTTCAAAGGTCTTTGTATTTGATATATTACTAAAGAGTGACAAGAGGTTTGACATACATTACATTTATTCCACTAAATAATATTTACTATTTTTCTTTTTGACTCAAAATATTTAAATGCTTCTCTTGCAAATTTCTTATTTTGACTTGATTGTCTTTCACCTGGGGTGCTGTAAGTTCATACTTAGGAAACCTGCCAAATTTTTAATGTATGTTCCAAGCAACTTGTTGGTTGAAATTTTTCTGCAATATTAGGTGTAGGAGATACAATGTGTAAATTCCATTTATTCTTTTTATCTCCAGTTTTTAACAATATTAATGCAAGAGTGATAGATTCTAATATGTTGCAAGAGCTGTCCAAAAAAATCTTAATGAACAGTGAAGTGCATTTGAGATTTTCTTACAAAAATTCATTCACAATATGTTGTTTTGTAATCCTTAACAACTTTGCATGATGTTGTCTTCATATTCATATTTCCAATTTTTTGTAATCCTTTTAATTGAACAAGCATATATAATTGAACGGAATTTGTTGGTGAATAGGTAAAAATAATGTGAATGCTGGATGATAATGTAATGAAAAAATGTTTAAGAATTTGTTGAGCTAGGTACTCACAAATTTTGCAGTTGTGGAAGAAAAATATGCAACAAATAAAAACTAACATTCATTTATTTCAGCAGGGCTAATGCACATTGTATATCTACATACTATGATAAACAAAATGTAAACTTTTTTCATTGCAACTTTATGAAAAGTTAGAGCATTTTTAAAACTCTGACCATAATAATGAAAATTTAATATACTAAAAATAATTATTTTTGGATGATTTTGAACCATAGACTGCAACAGGAAAATTATATTGTTTTTCTGGAGTGATATTCTCATTGTTTTTCTTGTAGATGTGTATCTAATTGAAAAGAAAATCACTTTAGTATGTTTGCAGATAAATTCATATCTAGGAAGCCTTCTTATTAATCAATTTACTCCATGGAAAATGCATTAAAAAAATAATTTATTGCAAAGCCATCACATTGATCATTTGTACCTACCATCTTTTCATGATTTTTATAAGAATTTATTAGCCAAAATGCTTTCATTGTACAATTGTTACATCTTCTCTTGCATAAATTCTTTAAGAAAATTTAAGAAATTTAAAAAAGAAAGTATTGGTTTTTTTATGAAATTTTATTTAAAAGTCCAATACACTCCTCATTTACACTTCTAATACTTTGGAATATCAGTTTGTCTTGTATCATGTGCATTCCATGATGATGAGATGGGTGATGAGGAGATGGTGACTGAACTGGCAGTCATTTTGTCATTAAGTAGCTTAATTTTAAAAATTAGGTCATATTTGTAGCCTTTTCTTTTCTCTTTTTTGCAAGGTGAAGTACAAAAAACACAAGAAATCTCCTAAGAATGGGCAGTCAAAAGGACAAAAGGGCGTGATAAATACAGGACATGGAATACCATCACATTTAGTGAATGGCACTATTTTGAAGACTGCCTTGACAAATCCTAGTGAGGTGAGTTACCTACAATTAGAAATGTAAACATTTTATTACAATACCAAAAAGAGTGGGAAAGTTTCTTTTAACATTGTGATTCCTTTTTTGCGTACTTTTTGTTGCTATTGGAGATACATAAAAAGTGTCTCCATATTAATCTTAGTATGTGTATTGTTGGTTTTGCTTTTCTTTGGAAGCAAGTCCAGTACCAGTTTCACTCACAAAAGAACAGTCTATGGTGTCAAATTGAAGCCAATTTTATTATAAATTTCAGTTGTATTTAGGACACAAATGGCAAAATTACTGTCAAAAATATCACTAATCTTGGGATTAAGTAAATGGTGCCTGTATTGAGGACAGCTCTCAGATGGTTTCTACAGCCCACCACTAACTGAGCAACCGAATTGGCTTTATCTTTTGTGTTATCAGAGCAGAGCTGTATAAATGGAAGTCAAGCTCAAAAAAAATGTGTAAAATTCATTATTTAACTTTTATTAAAACCACTGTAGAAGAGAAAGTCTTAAATGTGCTGTATTAATGCATGCAAGTTAGCAATGTAAATTTTGTGTTTGGATTGTGATGAAATTTTCCCGCAGGTTGTGCACCTGAGGCAGAGATTGGACAGCGCAGTCAGCTCTTCCAGAGATAGAACCTTACCTATAGAAGCAGCATTACCTATGATTCAAACCCTCATTGATTGTGATGAATTTCAAGATATAGCTACTTTGAGAGTAAGTACAAACATAGTATTCATATGGTATTGAATATTAACATTCTAAACAATTTCAAAAAAAGAAGGGGGGAATTGTGGTAAAGCATTTCTGTATTTGATTTGAGAAGTTAGGGTGTTAAATGTAAACAAAAGCTTCGCAAAACACTTCCTTTTTATTTATTTATAATAGTGTGATTTAATTAATACATCATGAACATTCTTTTGTGCATCTGCATTATTGCACGTACATATTCAGTCACTAATTCACTCCTGCGCACACATATATACTCAAAACTCGAATCCTATGGGAAATGGAAAAAAATTGAGTTAACAAAACTTTGAATTAACAAAAATTACACTAAAAGGCATTGTTGAAAAAGAAATGTATTGTATCATGCATAAAAGTTCATAGAGACAAGTGAGCTAAATTTTCATGACGCTCCCTCTTCACTCATGGGTTGAAGAACATCTCTTAACAGATGGACAGAGGAGATGGAGTAGGAGTCGGATACAGGATCTCTATGAAAAAAAAACAACTATGGACTACACTTCCGTCCTTTACTGAAATCTTACAAGACTTTCTTACAATACGAGAACAGAGCAACACATTGTACAACCAACTTGATTACAACCAACTTCAATTACTGACTTTGAATTATCCGAATATAGACTTCAAAAATTCTGATTAGATGAAAATTTTTGATAGAATTTTATATAGGAATTTCAAGGATAACATCCTTTGTTTCGAAAAATCTAATAATTTGAATTATTCAATGTCAAATTAAAGAGTGTTGACTGTACATACAATTTATATGAACATAAACACCCACACACACCCATGCATCAAGTATGCATACTATATGATACATGTATCCATCCATAATGGATATACATGCATCCAACCATCTTGCTCACTCAAATTGTTAATTGTAAAATACTAAACAAAGACTCTGAACAAATCAAGAAGTTAAATTAAATATATGTTTTGCAGTTGTTGAAATTGAATTGCAATTTTATTTGCATCAAAAACATATATGTTTCATATGACATTGTTTTACATTACATACGTTTTACATGCTGACAGCCTTAAAATACAATTATTTACTACCATTTCTTTGAGAGACAACATGGCAGGCAGTCCCAAATGGTTTTGAGATTAGAAAAATTGTCAAGGAGTAAGTAATTGGGAGAGAAAAGGGGGGAAACAAATGGAGAGGGGTATAAAGGATATAATCTATCATATGTGTATGTATTCATTCATTCTTTGTAATTTTTATTCTTACAATCTTTCTTTCATTGAAGTATTTATATATTCATACATATTAATGCCTACATTGAGGATGATGATGGATCTTGATGATTTCAAAATTCTGTGTACTTTTTCCAGAATTTGGATGAACTTTTGGACCACAAGTCGGATTTATCAGAGAAACTCTGCCAGATTGGTGACTCAATTGTGTACAAATTGGTACAATGGACAAAGAGACTACCTTTCTATTTAGAACTCCCTGTTGAGGTAAATATGATAGCTTAATGAGTTGAAATTTGAAATAATAATAATAATAATAATAATAATAATAATAATAATAATTAATAATAATAATAATAATTAATAATAAAAAAGTATCATTAATGCTGCCAAATATTTTGTATCTTTCATTCTTCTTTCAAGAGTAAACTTTAATATTTGTTTTTCTTCTTTTATCGATTTCGTAAAAAAACAGTTTTTTAAATTTGCTTAGCAAAAGAATGGAAGTAATTGGATTACAGATAAGCAGAGTTGATGTAATTCAAATGAAATGTTTTTCATTGTAAATTGTAATAGTTTTTTCAAATTTAATTTTTCATGATGAGTGTTTATAAATTTTATATAAAAAAACACTGATGTGATGTCTCACAAATATGCTTTTTAATGTTTAATGTCAATTTGGAAAAAGTACAAACAATAACTTTCTTGAAACAAGAGAGAAAATCAAATTTTTGTAACATATTGCAAATTATACAAAATTTACAAAATGGCACAAAATGCTCCACATATCCTCTTGGCATTGTCCAAGTCTGTCCTGAAGCCTGAGATTTCAGTTATTTAATTTCTATGAGAAAATATAAGGAATATTATTAAAATTCAGAAACAGTAAGTATGGAAATAAAATTAATTTAATAAAAAAGAAATTCAAATACACAATTTTAGTGTAATACAAATTTAAGAAATGAGATATTTTAAGCAGTACTGTCACATTTTTTGCCTTTATTGTAATCAATTCTAGTCATCCTTCTAGGTTCTTAAGTACCATTATGTATTTTTAAAAACTCTACAGAAATTATTTAATGAATGAAATGATAACTCAACAATGTCTTCTCAAAATTACCTTCATTTACCAATAAATACAATTCTTGAATTCAGTGAAAATGAAATGAATTTAATTAAGCATACATGCAACAAAAAGAGGGAATTTATAAAAAAGGGAATTTATTTCATTGAAAATAATTGATGCACAATAAAAAAAATAATTCTAACGAAAAGAAAAGTGGTGTTCATTTTAAAAAATAACATTAGGTTTCTTCAGTAGTTTTAATTTGAAGCAAGTGTTTGAGAACAACCTTATTTTAATATTTAAAAATGCTAAAAATTAATCGGGTAAAATAAATTGTGCTAGGACTGACTAATAATGTTTATCATTACATTGAACATTATGCAATTTCCATTAACTGTTTTTAATGAATAGCTGTTTCAATAGACAAAAAACATCCAAATAGAAACAGTTATTCTCAGTTTATAAATAAATGAAAAATAAAACAATTATTTTTTAAATAAAAAAAAAGTTTTTATATATTTTTATTTCAGCATCTCTACAAATGAGTTTGAATCCAGAAATGAAAGGAGAAAAAGAATTAATTATTGTTATATATAATTTACTCTAATATATAATATATAATTTATAATACTTAAAAGTTTTTTTACTATTTTCAGGTACACACTAGACTTCTTACTCACAAATGGCATGAATTGCTGGTTTTGACAACATCTGCTTATCAGGCTATTTATGGGCCACATAAAATGGGAAATCCAGCAAATGATGGCACTGAAGCAGATTTCATGCAAGAAGTAAGTTAAATGATGAGTTGTATTCTTTTGTGAATTTGTGTCTTATCTCACTCCAATATGAATGCAGAGTTGATTGAACCTTCAAAATTTGAGTTTTAACAGCTATGAAAAAAATACGGTTTTAATTTATATACTTGTCTAAAAGGATTATTGCTGTATTAATTTGCTCGCTTAGCAATTTTATTGTTCTTTGATCTTCTTGAATTAAAATATTTAATTTTGTTGTGAATTTACAACAATGAAAAAATCTTAACAAACTATCAAAACCTTTTCCAGGTATCATATAACCTTTGCATGCTTCAGTCTTGTCTCACATCAATGATGGGAAGATCAATCACAATGGATCAACTTCGACAAGATGTGGGGTTAATGGTGGAAAAAATTACCCATGTTACTCTAATGTTTCGCAGAGTAAGACTCCGCATGGAAGAGTACGTGTGCCTTAAGGTCATTACAATGCTCAACCAAGGTAAACCTTAAAGCAAAGTAATCAAAAGCTGAATTCATCATGTTCTTGTTGAGTTTAATATTGAGTACTTTAATACTTGTTCATTTTTTTCAAAGCTCGAGGAGGTTCAAGCGAGTTGGAAATCATTCAAGATCGGTATATGACATGTCTGCGAACATTTGTAGAACACAACTTTCCACAACAGCCCTCGCGTTTTCATGAACTACTAGTCCGGCTGCCTGAGGTAGGTTTAAATGTTAATAAATATTAGTATTACACTACCAGAAACCTCACTGTAAAATTTTCTGCAGCACATTTGAATAAGTTTCAAGATCTAATTTTTTTCCCCCTTTCTTCCTTCATGAAAATCTTATTTTAACATTTTTTTATAGGTTCAATCAGCAGCTGCTTTGCTTCTCGAAAGCAAAATGTTCTATGTTCCGTTCCTGTTAAACTCAGCAATCCAGAGATAGTACTGCATAGTGTTAGGTAGTGGCAGCTACCGAGGGACAAAACAATGTGACAATCGAGAGTGGCAGAACGGAATAGGCCACATGCTGATTATGGCTCTGTGATCAAAGGAACAAAATGATAGATGTTGCCTGACGTGATACTCCTTGACCATTTATTTGCCAAGTCAGATAAATTGGAATGGAGCTTCAAGGATAGTCATATGTCTGTTTGATGTCTGTATAGCCTGATATAGTTTTATAATGTCTGGAAGGTCAAGTACAAGATTTCTGTTGCACTGGAAGAAATTAATGGTTATAAGCAGTGCTTTAGTTACCATTTTATGTGAGAATTTGATATAAAAGGCTGGATCCTGAGAACATATGTTATCTTGAAAATATGTTGAAATTTGGAAGTTTACGGCAGAGTATCCCTATGGCGTGTCCTGTTCTTCTCTAAAAGGTTTATTGAAGCTTTGTTAAAAATGGCTTACTGTTTTACATACACTGTTACCACCATAAATATTAAATGAAATGGTTAGTAATAAAAGAAATGGAGCATATTGTATGTGCAGACATAATAAATTATGTCAACAAGTTGCATTCAACATGAAAAGTGTTTGTTGCAAGTTGTGTTTGTGTTTGAAAGATACAAAAATTTAACACCATTGTTTTGAAAGGTGATTCACAGAGAACTGTGATTTTATAGTTGAAGAATGAGGATATAAATCACAAGACAGTATGTGGTAATGAAATGTTTGTTTTTCTGCTATGATACTATTTGTTTACAATATTATAATACAAAATAAAGTGTTACCATGTTGCCAGGAATTGCAGCTAATGTTATTACCAAAGTATTCTACTGCCTTAAATTGAAGTTACCAGAGAAAATGATAAGTTGTCTGAAGATTAATAATCTATGATTGTGATATTTCCCTCATATAAGATGGGATACAGCTTTACTATAATTTAACAGGCAGCATCACTGTGATGCGAAGGGGCAAGATCTACTCTCTGTTGACATCTAACAGGCTGCATTGTCATATGGACAAAACACCATTATTATTCTTAATTGTAAGATCAGTGAAATTTAGTCTTACTTTGTGAGATTAAATAAAAATATTCCAGTCTGAAAACTTTTAAGTTACCAGTGTAAAGCAGGTTTAATATTAAAATAAGTGTTCCTTTAAGACACTTGATGCTGAATAACATAGTAAAACTGTGTGATCAGTAAGCTAGTGTTTTGTTTCAAACTTGTGTTATTTCTGTAGGTTCCCTGACGATGGGAATGTACTGTCAGGTTGATTTGCAAGAAAGGGATGAACCCTTTGGACATTTAAGAAAAAAACAATAGATTTTTCTTTGCCTTTTTAAATTTTATGTGCATATTGTAAGTATTTTTGTGGTGAAACCACTCATGAGAAAATGAATCAAGTGTTTAGTAATAAATAGATTATATTTACATTATCCTAGCATTTTACTATTTGTATATTCTATGGAATCTTAAATTCTCATTGTGCACCTATTTATGGAAAATAATTGACATAATACTTCAAGTCAATCAAATGCTTGAAAAGTACATACGTCATAAAATTCCAATCTATAAAGTGACTTAATACTTTAGGAATGGACTTTTGATATGTGTAAGTATTAATGTAAATGGAAGAGCTGGCCAATTGAGAATTTAAGATTTGTGCTGATAGAATGTTGGTAATGTTATCAATGTTACCTGAAATATTCTTTTTTGTTCATTCTTAACTTCCTATTATGTGAATATTGAACAGTTTAAAACTCACAGGTTGAAGTACAAAACAATGGAACATTATGAAAACTTGAGTTCTCCTTCTAATGTTTACCAAGCAAACCATCAGTATTGTTACACTATATTAAAATTTATCTTGTTATATTGAAATTACTGTTAAGCCTTCAGATGTGCATTTTCAAGTAATTTTTATGAATACAAAATTATGTTTCTCTAAGTCTTATTATTTTATCATCAACAAAAAATGGATGTATTCATATTACTGATGTAGTGTGCTATGTCCAGTATTGTATTATACAGTACCTAGATATGTTGTTATCCATGGAAAGAGTAATTTAAATAAACTTATTGATTGTTCTTCATTTTTTAAGAATCTTATGATATTATTGCATTCACTGAATCTTGATAAGCTTGTATTGCTACATTGCATTTACAAAAATGTTTAGCTTGAATTCAATGGAATATACATGGTGCTAGGTTTATTATGGAAAAGTCATATTGACTCTAAACATTTCCAGGAATGAATAGAATCTATATTCAGTGTTTATTATATACAGACAGAAAACTACTATATAAAGAAAACAGAACAGAGCTCTGAGAAGCTCGTGAGGTTGCCTTGTGTTATTCTGATCTATCAAGTGTTACACCATTGTTCTCTGAAATGTACATAGTATATGACCACTGTATAAAAAAACAAAACAATTCTCTTAAAGACTGGTGATTTCTGAGTTCAAGTTCCGCTGTACTTCAGATTACCTGTTTCTTATCTTGGGAACTTAAAATTTGATGACCCATAATGATAATATTTCTTTTATTTTTCTTGCAACATTTTTTATTTATGCACCAATCATGCACTTATTAAAAAGTGTTTATTTATTTTCCAAATATCTGACCATTTCCTTACTTTTTCTAATAGCTTAGAAAATAGAGACTTTATTTCTTACTGCAACTGAACTGATATTGCAGAATGTTTACAAATTTCTATGTCGCAACATATGTAGCAATTTCATTCTTTTACACAAAACCTTCACTGAATTATCTGTATTGCAAATATTGACTCCTCTGTACTATTCCATTTGTTACAGGATGATTTGTATGACTCGTGTATGTATGTATGCCTGCTGCTGAGATATGTGTGTATATGTACGTAGAGTACTTGAAGTTAATTAATGTGTTTGGTGGAACGAGTTTATAGAAGTTAAGATAAAAATAAAGTTAATGCATTATTTCATTACACTTGAGAATTTTTGAAATGTTGCTGCTATATAATTAAAAATGTTAACATAAAAATGATTTAGAGTAAACAGTTTAAAACTTCCCTTTCTTATCTTTTAATATATGTAATAATAATTAAAATTTTACATGCATCCCACGTGTTCTGACAAAATCAATTTAGTAGGAAAAACTTCATTTTTCAAACACTGAGAGATATACTTATCAATTGCTTTGTTTTTGGTCTCTCTACACTGTTAACTCTTTCTCCTTCTTCCTTATGACTTATCCTGAGATTTTTTCAAGAGAGAAATGCAGCTTAAGAAAGATGAATTGTAAAGATTTTTTAAAGAAAAACCTCTAGATGACCTTGCAATAACACTTAACTTTTCAAAATGTTAATTTGTAAATTAAATAATTTTCAAAGATTTTTCCATTCAGTGTGAGGTTTGGTTTGTTTTTTATAGCCAAGCTATTGCATATTTCTAATCCTGCTCAATTTATTCAATACAATTACCACTTATTGATCACATCACATTACAAAGTAATAATAATTTGCAGTATGTCTGTAAAGACACCATCTTGAGTAGAAACCACATTTTAAAAAGTGTAATTTCATTAACAAATTTATAAGGGGGAGGTGATCCGAACTAAAATCCCCCCCGCAATTCTTTCTGTATCTGACCTAGTCATTATTATCCATGATCCCTTTTATCCAAAAATTTGGAAATTTTCATTATTGTGGAGTAGTTTTTCTGGTGTTACTTAGTGTGTAAGTACTACTACTGATTAAATTCTGATTTTTTTAATTTAAATTACAGATGAAAATGCAAAAGAATGTAATTCTGTTCTCAATACTATTCATTCATTCAAGTATTCTTTTCATTAAATGGGAATGTGATGAAACTGCATTTAAACATAAATTTGCAGTAGTGCAAAAGACAATTTTTTTAAATCTAAATTTAAGAAAAATATGAAATAACCATGACACTTAAAATATGTAAAATGTAAGATACTTCAAAAAATTATTTGCTCAAGAACATTTGTTGGTTCAATGACTAAAGGTTAAAGTACGGAGAGTTGCACAAAGTGTATATTAGTACAAATAACTGATCTTATTTAACTGAAACTGATTATTAATGTGTGCAGTTTAAAACAGTTGCAATTAGAATTCATTTCATTACTAACATTTCAAACTGAACAAAAGGTTTGGTAGCTAGTAAGCATCACTCTACAGAAGACCTCTTATATCAGCTCTAGTTTTTCATAATTAAATATATACCTTCAAGGTAATGCCTTAATAATAATCATTAGAATACAAATACAATAACACATGCATTAATACACAAACTAAATAATAAATGTGTAAAACATCATCCTGGATGAAAGAATGAAGTCTACTTCTTATTTAGCTGCAAGCCTAAAATATACTAATTTATGATGATATGCTTTATTGCATAAGTACAAGAAAAAGTTAACCCCTTTAGTATTACTCGGGCAACTTTTCTTGAACGATGGATTGACGATTTCGGGTGGAGTGGGGGTATTA